GCCAGGAACGCGAATTCAAATATACATGGACGAATTGATTGCTGACGAGCGCATACATCCGAGCGACGCAGTTTTCGTGTCCAATGCGTGAGTTGGGGTCGGCTGACGTCAGTTTGGCCTTTGTAGGCATTGTAAAGAGGATATTTAGAACCATACACACATGATGATAACGTCATAGCACACTGACATTAAGGAGCACAAAACGGGCCCAGCTACAGAAAATAAATATTACACTCGTAAGAAATAAATACGTCTGTAACTTGTTAATTACAGAGACAAACACACCTCTGAGCATCTAAGTTTAATGGTATGTGTTGATGCATTGTCATATAGCAGGACATTTCATATACGTCACTTGAGCAAACGCCAGCTTTTCATTTGAGAAACAAACCAAAAAACGCTGCGATCAAATGCAAGCTATTGCAACGAAAGCAAGTTATATCGAAATCTTCAGAACTGCCAATTCGTAGAATTGGCAATTAGTAAAAAAGGTTAAAGATCGCAGGAGCTTCCTCGCTAAAAAATGCTGTGATTATTCGGTGACCCAGGGCTGAAACAATTTCCCCTAGGCCCAACACGCGCCGTATACCTTTCGTTATGATTCTCAGAAATTCAGACTTTCAAAGGAAGCTAGAAAAATGCGAAAATTTTATCCTAAAAGCTATGTGGAGCGCAAGTTCGTCTGCTTCTTTTTGCAGGGGTTGTGGTGACGTCAGTACGCCGAGATCTGAGTGGCTTCGATTGAAGGAGAGGGTAGACCTAAACGCAAGCTACCTTGACGTCTTCCCGCTATTCTTTATTCAGAACCAATCATAGCTCGGCATTTTGACGTCACCACAACCCCTACTAAAAGAAGCAGACGAAATTGCGTTGTGCATATCGTAATATCGTTGATTAGTATACTTGGGAGTTGTGTGAATATTTATACAGCGTGTACTTCGTCAGCCATTTCAAAGTTGCGACGAGTCACTCGCTGTAGATGAGCAATTTAGCCATTGCAGTATAACCGCTAGCTCTATAGGTCTTTAACGTGCATCACGCAGTAGTGATACACAACCGCAGGCCGGTACGATGCTCATCCAGATCGAAACGGGCAGGGGTGGGAATTGAACCCAGGTTCCCTGGGTGATTAGTACAAAACGTAAACATTGCAGGAGCTTAATCGCTAAAAGTTTGTGATCATGCGGTTACCTGGGGCCAAAACAAATTCCCCAAGGCCCAATATGCGACGCATAAATTTCGAATCGATTCTCAGACACTCCAACGTTCAAATAAAGCTAAGAGAATTCGAAAATTGCATGCTAAATGTCTTATCGATCCTCAAACACATCCGGAAACCCGAGCACCGCTAAGGCGATATTAATGATTCTGTCGCAGAGGTGCTAATATCCAGAGCGATCTTGCACAGAAAAGGTATGAAGTATCATTCTTTCAGATGTTCACGTTATACCTACGTCAGAAAGCACGAAGAAGCCCTAAATCGTCGGCAAGCTGCGGCACATCACGACTCCGCGCACCGAACAAACTCGCATCCACCAGCTCTGGGCGCTGCCATCTTACCGATGACATCACGGCTCTTGAGAGGTCACGTGACGAGTCGTCACTCGGTTACTATGGGCACGGTGCCAGCTCGTCCCGTTGCTATGGTACCGCGTGTGACCAATCGCGGTGAGAGGCGGCACAGGGAAAAGCGTGGCGCTACTCTGGCAGCTACGCTGCCATATCGAGTGGCTCTACCTCTTACCGCAGCATACAGACGTTTGGGAAAGAAGAAGTTGATCGAAATTCTAAGGCTCATCTTTTTAAAACAAAGAAAGTTGTAGAGCAAATATGTTCTCATGCATGACGACCAAAATATTTCTATGCCTGTCCCGACGACCTAGACAGTATCCCCAGATGACAAATATGAAGGCTTTCAACACGCGCCAGATTGAGCCACCATTGCCGACCTTCTCTCCTCTTACCGGGATACCGAGATACAAAGCCACTGAAGCGGGCGTTGACGAGCCTCGACAGAGGCCTGTGCCAAGGAGAACACAACAGCACCTAAAGGGGCAATAACCTGTCCTGCTGTGGCAGTGATGAAGTGAAGCGAACGGCGCAAGAGGAAACAAAAACTGAAAGTCGGTTATGGTGGCGCCCATGCAAAGCTGCCTTGTCTATATTCGCACTAAATCTTGCATTCTGAGGTATCATCTAGCGAAACAGCACAAAGACCGGAGCGGCAAATAAAAATTACGAATCAACAAAAATCGACTTACCGTTCTCTATTCTGATGACGAGAATATTAAAAATGTAAGCTTCTTGCCAAGGGGTCACACTTGACAGCGTGCTTTGAAGCGATTCTGTTTCTGGTTTGGTTATAAGCGCCCCGTGCGGAGATCTAGAGAACTGGCTCGGCTCTTTTTCTGCTGGGCAGCCGAGCTAGAGTGAACCAGCCGAGCGTTTGGCCAGGCTGGAGCAAAGCGCGCGAAAAATCTCGGCGGCCATAATCTCGCAAGTCAGTTTCGCCACCGCTGCCGAGGTGTATCGAGGAAACTATTGACCTCGAGACCCATGTTGAATTTCGGGGAAGCGTGCGTTTGTTTACCCATGGTTGTCTACGAGGCACGTGGTGCTTCCCTCTGACCACAGCGTGGGTGGAAACAAAGCATCCACACTAACGGCACACGGCGTGGGCAAGGGAACTGCTAAGAGCACGAGCTCTTAGCAGTTCCCTTGCGTCCGTAGCAATGAATGCTACGGACGCGAGGCATTTAAAATGAATGCCTCGCGTCCGTAGCATTCATTTTGCTCTAAGTGTAAAAAAAGCGTAGTTCTGCTTTCCAACACATGATCCGTGCCAATCTAATGTCGAGGCGAATAGGGTGTTTTCAATGACGTCATTTTGTCCACCGTTTTGCTGTTATGAGCAGTCTCGCGCGCGCAGAAGGCGAGCACTCCGGATTCACATCAGTGCACAAAAGCTTATAGGTTTCATCACGCTATCATTGAAAAACAAAATGGCGGATTGACGTCATGTGAAAACGCCCTAGACACCCGTACAACTTTCTGTGTTAAAGCTATGGGTGCATGTAAAGGAGTCGCGAGGGACCCCCTCACCGGGTGGTCCTCATTCCACGGCCGCGCGGGGGTGTGGGGAAGAGGGGTTGGGGACGCACCCTGGCTGTCTTTGTTTTCTTTAATTTCGACGGGTGACCGCGGTCCTCCCAAACAGGCATCCCGCAGCGAAGACGTTGTCTCTTCCGCGAAGAGGGCGTTTTGTTTTTCTGTGTACGCGTGTTTTCTCGTCTGCTCCAGCGTCCCACGGGGTTCGCTGGTGACGATCGAGTTTCGGGCCAGGAGCTCTGGTGTGGCGCCACTCTGTCTGAAACCCAAGGCTGTGCCAATGTTACGGAGCTGTCAGCCGTGGCCGTTGCAAACTTGATGAACGGCCGGGTCGGCCCCCAGCTGACCATTGGAGGGCTGACGCCACGTGACTTCGAAAAGGTTTGAAACCATTGGTTAAGACTTCCCTGAGGGCGAGGGAGTGAGTGCCTTCAAAAGCCTCGGACGGGGCGAGGGAGGTCGATTTTGGACTGATTTGGAGATCCGCAAGACCCGTTTGATCCGAGTATGCCAACTTCCCCTACTTTGTACAGATGTACATAGTTTGTAAAATCAATTGGTTCGCCAAAGAACTCGCAAAGTCTCCATCGCCTCTTGAGAACTTCAACGACCATCGGCCTGCAAAACTTGGCAGGCCCAAAGTACCAACAACGAACGAACGAACATTTACTGTGCACATCTTGAACTTGCTTGAGCGTCCATCAAAGCTGTGCACGCGCAGCCCTGACTTCTTTCGAAAAGTCCGAAATGCCACCGAAGGTTGTCCGCGGGTAGAGATTTTTGCGCGTGCAGGTCTGCGCGAGAGGAGCACGACACCGTCTCGCGGAGTGCCGCCTGCCTCTTGAGAACTAAAGTTATGGCGGCGTGGCGCAAGCGCGGAACGCTCGGTGAGAGCAGTCTAAAATGGGGTATTCACTGGACGCCATATTTCAGGGCGACGTTAGAAGCCCACGTGAGTGAGTGAGAAAACGTATTTATTAAAGGAAGGGATGCATCACGACCTCTCGATAAAGTCATCCAATCGTGACGGGCGAAGGGTATTATGGGAAGGGCAGGGGGAGGAGGCTAAATGTAATGGACGATCAAGCTCCAAACGATCTCAGATTAATTGACGCTTTACACACGCGCCAAATTGCAGCCGTCATTGCTGACCTTCTCTTGTCTTACCGAGATGCCGAGCAACTGAAACGGTAGGTCACGATCCTCTACAAAGGCCGATGTTTTAGAAAAGGACACAGTTGAATCTAATGTGGCAATAACTTGGCCTCCTATGGTAATGATGAAGAGAAATAAACGAAATAGGAGGAAACAAAAACTAAAGGTCAGTTATGGCGGCGTCCATGCACAGCTGCTGCAAAGCGTCTATAGCCTGCTAAGACCGGCGATCATGCCGGTGCGGAATGCACGTTGCAAAAGAACTGCGGAAGCTCGCCGACGACACTCGCTCAGCAACCGCGCACACAGCTATGGTCGCCAGCGAATACTCCCTATAGGGAGTATTCACTGGCGGCCATAGCTGTGTGCGCGAATGCTGAGCGCATGCTGATGGCGAGCTTCCACAGTTCTTTTTCTACGTGCATTCCGCACCATCAAGAGTGCCGGTCTTAGCAGCCTAATTGATGTGAGCTCGTTCTGAGCATGCGCTCTAAACAGCACCAACAAATATGGCGTCCAGTGAATACTCCCCATAAGAGTGATGTCCGACTGTTAACATCGACGGTCCCTGCATTTCGCACCACCATCGGACTTCTAGGTCGGATAATTCTTCTCGTGACTTCACGGGTAGGAACCAGAAGAGGGCGCCACCAAAACTTCTCGTCGCCTGCTCGCGCCCGATGCATGGCGCGCTGCACAAACCCAAACAACAATGTGAAAAGATTACAACAACCAACTTTGGGTTAACGAGTGCATCTTTATTCACCCCTAGTGCATCACTCAACTTTCTTCAATAACTGTACACGATTGCCACGTGCTTTTTTTTTTTTCGACAATGTCACAAGATCCGCGACCGCGCGGCGTATAGCTCTTATCTACACATTTGGGGCGGTTTGGTCGAAACAAAATGCGTCGCCATCTCGCGGCCGTCTCATTTAAAGCACCGATCAGGTTGGCTGCGGCCAAAGGTGTCCTCAAAGAACTGACCACGCTAAGGCGATGTTTCTTTTTTTTTTTTTTTTCTTTTAACCCTATGTTTGTAAAGGTTCAATAGGCTGGTAAACGGCGAAAGCTGCGGCGTCCCAGCGACCAATCAGAAGGTAGGAGCTAGGCACATGAAAACGTATACCACCAGGGTTCGCTCCCGCGGAAAGTCGCCACGTGGCTCGTTCTGTGGCTCTGATTGGCTCGAGGGGGCTACCATTCGCTGTTCGACCTGCAGCCCGTTCACACATACAAAACAGCACTTACTCAGCGCAATAGACAAGGCGCTGTATCGGAACTGTATCGGTGATTTGATACACGTGACACCGGCTTTTTGTTGCTCACACGTACAAAGTCTGCACCGCTCATGCAGCGCAGACTTTGCGTTATCTCAGCGCTTAAATGCATGTGTGAACCCGACTTCACGATGGAATAGAATGCATAGTCGAACAAAGAACACTGCCGCCGACATAACAAGAACATTGTTTCGACGACTGGAACAATTTTCGGCAGCGCACCTCGTACAAAATCATGTCCTCTCGGCTGCAGATTGGTGGCGCTCGAGCGGGTGTGTTTGGTAGGTTTGAGAGACTATACGGCGCCAGGAAACGCGTCTCCGATTGGTGGGTTTACCGTCTGCTAAGAAGTGGTCCCTCAATGTCCCTCTGGTGACGCCAGAAAAGCGTCACTTTGTCACCGGCCGTCGGCGGGACTTGTAGCACCAGCCACCAGGATTGCGACACCAGACAAAATGACACGCGGGTTTCTGCGACGCCATTTCTTGCCACTTTGGAACTAATTTTGATGTATGGGCGCTGCCGCTAAACACAACATTCGAAGACGCGTCCCAGAAACCGTAGCTGAACTCGACCACACCGCTAGATTTTTTTTTTTTTTTTAATGAGAAGCGGTTCACACGAGACAGTGATTCGTTTGGTTTCGAACAAGCCAGCCCCGGGGTTTTCTGTTACAGTAGCGGTGCTTGCCAGACAGAAATGGCGAGGCAGTTATGAATCGTGGATCCTTCCACCGTGCAGAAATATAACTCGGAGGGTATAGCGTGTATTGGGGGGGTCCTTCACTTTAGCATCAGATTCATCTCCGCTGCATTTCCCCCCTCCCCCCCCCCTCCCCCTCCCAAACCCCTCCCCGTACCCGTTTAAGGGTTGGCAGGCTTCTCTATATTGGAAAAGATTATACAGTACTACATTGGACGAATCACGGCTGTGATAAATAAAATAATAAAAAAAAAAACGACCGCTGTCGGTGTACAAGAAAAAAACCCGCAATATTGCTAGCTTGTTTTCAGCTCTGTAATAGGAGAGGAGAGCGTGGCTTTTAACATTCCCGCTCATAGCTTCGTGATTCGCTCTTCGGTATTCTTAGCGACAAATGCACTGATCTTATTGGCAGAGGAGCGATAGGACACGCCTTGTCTTTCTTACGCTGACCGTGACTGCAAGAGTGGCGCTCAACGCATTCTAGGAATCTCAATATGGCTCAAGCTCTTTTTTGCTGAATCTTCGGGTGAATAATTCACTACAAAATATGGAACGCGCAACATAAGGGAAGGCCACCGAAATTCAAACTGTGCCCGATATTCGAAAAGCGGAGGAGACGTATATGTCACTCTAGTCCAGCCTGAGCGCAAGAGCTTTCTGTGTATGTTAGAACTCGTTTAGTGTTGCCGTAAACTAGCTTTGCTCGAGTCTGGTAAAACGACAAAATCGACACAGTTCAAAACAGAAAGTTCGCGAACACAAAGCAAGGTACTTCGTTCACTGGTGGGTTCTTATCGACTAGATTTCGCGTGCGTCTACACCGGGTGCAAGCAGGCTGTGATTTGACGAAGGTAACAAACGCGGGTTTTATATATATCGTCTACGTCTAGACTAGCGGCGCAAAAAGCCGAACACGAGAAAGCTCCCCGCTCTCAAAGTCGCAAAAACAGTCGCTTTCCAGCGCCCGGCCCTTTCCCACGTAATATGGAAGCTATTTTTTGACACGCCGCCTTAGTTAAGGTTCCGTGCATTCGTTAAATACCGCTAGACGCCCACCAAAATTTAACCTCCGAGCCGGCTTTATCGAAATCGGGGAAAACCACAAAACCCCAAAAATTAGGGCTGCCCTCGCGCAAGAGAAAAGCAAGCTCTACGGAAAGAAAACATCTAACCTCAAGTTTATTGGGATCCGAAACACAGCGCGCACTGAACTTCTTGGGAGCCGCGCCTTTATCCTGTATGCGTCCCCTATCAATGCTAGCCGGTGTTTCAAGTATTCGGGTCGGGCACAGGGTTCCCTTGGGGTTGGGGAGCCCCGTCGTATATTTTGTACAATAAATATCCCGATTAAAGCCTTTTTTTTTTTACACCAAATATTGACGCCAAAAGGCACCAAATATGTAACAAAAATAAATCCCGGAAAAAAAAAAAAAAAAAAACACGCCGAATTTGGTTTAATATCAACCCGGAAAACACGAAACCCTCACCATATTGATCTAGAAAATGTTTTCAAGAACGCCCTCAGTGACGAAGTTACTGGGGTTCGAACCTCCAACTTACTAGTTCTATATTGACTCTGCGCACCTGGCTCTTTGCAGCCAATAAAAACATTTCTCCTTGCGGGCTTCTTTTTTTTTTTTTTTTTTTTTTTTCTCTTTCTTTTAACAAGTTGGCGCTTTGAAACAGCCCTCTTGAAAGGGAATACACCGACAATGCTCGGCAGACACCTCCCAGAAAGCGAATAGTCGACGTGAAACGGCTGCTGACGAGCTCAGCGCAGCATCATCCCCGCCGGCAGCGCTGTGTCATTTATGAGTTCCGCGTGAAGCCCGTCTTGTTTCCCATTTGGTTACTTCATCAAGTTCCCCCGCCATGCACCGAGGCCCTCTGTACCACACGGCATCGGCTTGGTCCGCCATATTCGTGGCAATTATTGCAAATGCGCATAATTAATTTCACGCTAGATCGCAGTTTTTTCTTTTTTTCCCACGGCGGATGACGGCGTTCACAAATCTACCAGGCTGGCGACGCAGCAAGGCCACCCGAGTTCTTCACGAAGGCCGTGGGCAAAGGACGAGGCGGTATTTCTGCATCCGTGCACAAACAAAAATTGTATAATATGTCTGCGGACGTGGACAGTGAAAACATATCGAGCTACGTAAATCAAGAATAAAGTAATCGAGAAGGAAATGACATCACTTAATAGCTACTATGGCTAAGTCCTTATGATCACACAGTGGTGGAAGAAGCGTCGACTGGTGAGACGATGGTCTAGGAGCCTCGAGACGAGCGTTTGTGGTGTTGCTTTCCCCTCTTCCTAAGGCACCAGTCGGGAACGTGGTCGGGCCGGTCATACGATGGAGCAGCAAATTCGGGACCCCGTTCCTGGAGCAAAGCCTGCCATCAGTTTGGTCCTCCAGCGCCTCGCTGTCGACGACGCGGACGCTTGCTTCGCCTGTGCGGGGAAACAAGTGCGGTCACTCGGGGGCCGCGGACAGGCCGGACCAGAGACACCAAGTGAGCCAGGCTTCAGGGACAACGGCACATCAGCCACCTTGATCAACGAGATGGGAAGACCCTAGTGCTGAATTTGCACTCGGAACGCGGGGCACGAGTGCCGCAATAGCGTTCGGCCGAAACTCGCGTCCTGTCAGCGAGGACACGAGTGTGATCCAAACGCTGGCGCAGCACTCGGGTCCTTAGAGTGACATGGAAGATTCAGCACTCCGTCCTTCTTATCTAGGATGTGTTACCTCGATGCGTGAAATGAGTGTTACCAGTCATCCGAGGCTTCGTCTGAAATCGCAAGAAACGCTATTCTGTCCACCCGGAAAGTTAGAATAGTACGCGGCAGAATAATACGATATCGCCTGGGTTCCCTGACACTTCATCTAAAGGAAGTAACATTTTCGAATCGTAACTATCGCTAATGGCACCCGCTCTGCATTGAGCACCAAAATGGAGGCACCCAGAAGAAGATCGGGGCCTGGGGTGCCGATACTCTAGGAGTAGCTTATTTACTGGCTTCGAATGAACGACAAATTAAAGTTTATTTAGAAAGCACGTCTGTCTGGGAGAGTAGAGCAAAAGGTGGCCTAAACCAGCTGACAAGGCTCCGTCTCCCTTTGCAGCGCTACAGCAGTCGCAGCATACAAGCTTGCTAGAAATGCTCTTCAACATTGCCTTCATGTACAATGAGCAAAGAAATTCGAAGACCCGACCAAAGAATAGGCATACGTTTATAAAGTATCAACTTCCCCGACCGTTTTCTGGGCGCTGCCAATCTGTTGCTTAGCGCAGAGTGGACGGAAATGGTTGCAATTAGAAGACTCAATACGGTCTCAGGAAGCTCGAACAATATCGTTTCGCTCTTTCGCTAACGAAGTGTCTTACGATATCTGGAGGAGGCATTTCTTTGCGAGACGAAGATTTATATAACTGCCAACACTGCTTTTATGCACCAAGACGGCTCAAGTGTCGTCACCCTAACGCGTGGCTTAATCAGTGGCTCTAGGCCGGAAAAGGACTTAGAAGGAGCTGCTGCTAGGAGGCTAGCAACTTCAGGAACTTGCCGTGGGTAACTAGAGGCTTTCTCTAGGAGGCTGCGATTGCCGAAACCTTTAGGGAGGAAACAAAAAAAGCAGGCAACGATGGTTAGTGCGCGACCCCTATGAGCTCTTGGACTCCCAACTGAAGCCGCCCGTAGTGATGTTCCGAGTACTTTGTTCCTCTTCCCTTTGCCCCGCCCTTCCCTCATTAGATCATTCTAATAAGTGCCTTTTGAGCGCTGTCATCTTTGTCTCCTGGGCCGTGGAATGCTTTCTGAGCATGTGCGAAATATCAGACTTCGCGCATGCATCCAGAGCCCAGTGACTCAACGTTTTTAGCCCAGGGGATAAGCATTGTATAAAATGTGAATGTTTTGACAGAAAGTGAAAAAACAGAAATTAACAAAAAAAAAATATGCTATACAGCTGTAAACAATAACACGTGAGAGATGGAGAAAAGGTGAAAAATAAGTACGTTCGTAAACTTCAGTTGAGGTCCCGTAAGTGAGAACAGGTTTATTACGTAGCGGTTGTTGCCTTGCAAGTAGCCAGCCTACGCGTTGAGAGACTACGCGCACATCAGGCGCGGACACAGAACGCACACGAGCGGGCATGCATGGACAAACACACGCATGCACGCAAACAGAGATGCGAGCGTTCACAAGCAGGCATGCATGCTTCGCTAATAATAAAAAAAAAAAAAAAATCGTGAACATGTTGTTCCCGTGCGTGTCCCTTCTGGATGCTAGTATGTCCTCACTGATCAATCACTCTTTGAGCAAGGAGTCGTTGCTAAAAACAGCTACGACGCTGTTTATAGCAAGCCGACCCTGGCCACCGCAACAAACTATGAAATTTCCAAAATAACTCGGGTGCATATCTCCGCACAAATTCGTCGAAACCTCAACGAGGACCAATAGAGCGGGTCGCGTTTCCAAGATGGGGAAAGGGGGTGGGAAGGGTGGACACCGAGACACGTCTTTCGATATCTCCCGCCGATATCGAAGAGGTAGCACGAAACATCACTGCTTGCAGGCTTCGTCGTGGGGGTTGGGCATCCGAGAAGAAAGGCACGAAAAAGGGGGCGGCGTGGCCCGCGGGCACTCACGGCCGCCTCGTCCCCGGACTCCTGGGACTGGACGCCGCTGTCCCCGGGGCTGGGCTCCCGGCAGCGGCGCAGTTCCGTGGCCAGGGACTCCCCGCGGACGCTGCTCCTGGGCGCCGCGGTCTCGTAGCGGTGTCCAAGCAGCTCCACGTCCTCGGAGCCGGCCTCGCTGAGCTCGTCGTCCATCTCATGGACCACGATCTCGGCGCATCGCGGCTCGCTCGGCTTCTTTGTCGACGAAACACCTGCCCCCAACACCTCCCGCAGAGCCGGCTCAGGAGATGTTGCAGGATCGGCTAAAAAATGGGCCTTGTCCCGCGCTGACGTCAGCAACCTCCGAGCCGCCGAAGGGGACTGCTGATGCCGCTGCTGCACTTCCGGCGGATCGTGCTGTTGCTGAGGGAGCTGACCCGTGGGAGGCCTTTTGTCCGAAGTCGCTCGCTCTTCCCGATGCGACGCTTCGCGTAGCGTCTGTGCGGTGGCGCTGACGGCAGCCGACAGGATCTCTCCGGCCAATCGACTCGCTTCTCCGTCCACGACGTTCGTCGGGCTCGAAGACGGGCGCGACGTCGAGTCGTTGTGCTTCTTGGCCTCCATTTCGGCCCGGGCGTCGACCAGGGCTCGCTCCAGCAGCTGCTGGGCCATCGACGTCGCCCAGCGGCGGGACCGGTGTCGGTGTTGTAGGACGATCTCGGGTCTGGCCTCCTCTAGGCAACGGGCCAACGTCCTGTTCACAAGGTCCTCGAGGCCCCCACCACGTGGAGCGGCGTTCGTGGGGTCGTCGTCGTCGTCGTTTCGCGCCTCGGTGGTGCCGCTTTCCTGCGCAGTAGTCAAGGTACACGTCGTACTTCGTTATACGGTCTATTCGCTCGAAAGCACGGAGTGCATTTCAACGGAAACCCCTTCTCCCAAAAACACTTGTCCACCCTTCCACGCATAAATACCCCGGCTATATTTAGTGGGGAAATCGACGTTGAGAGACCTGACGTCAAGTGATGTCATGGCATCACGTAGCACCACGACTTTACACCGTGACGTCACGCGTGATACCTCAACTTCACACCATGACGTCACGTGAAGTGACCACGTCATTCGACGTTCGAGCACGGGACGTCGATAATTATTAAACAATGAAATCTTCCCTCCCCGAGACGGGTGTACACTTTCTTCTAAACAAGTTGAAATGATCGCAGTTTAAATTCTACAGGATCCGATTGAGAAAGGTAAACCCAAGCTTTTTAGCACGCACAAATAAACTGCGCTTCGCAGAAAGCTTAAACTCAGTGAGAATGTGACGCTAATGGTGATGATAAGATACGAAAGTTCGAGCCATAACGCTACCTGGATCGAAAGATACTAAAGAAAAAACAGAATGTTGCTACGAGCCGACGTCCACCTGTGGTATTTCCAAACAACATAATACGAATTATTGTAGATCGTTTTCCGCGTCTCGCAAAGCCCTCCACAACGTGCTACGAGAACCGGACACACCGTTTTCCTCCTTCGCTACGCTCTCCGCAACGGAGACGCCGCTGCTGCGTATGCACGCCGCTGGCCTTGCCTGCAGTAGCGAATTTTAGTAGACCGTTCCGATGACTCCGATACGAATACCCGATGCTCCGCCGACGCCTCTTCGCTTGCATCGTATCGTCATCGGGTCGTTATCGGAGGTATCGACACGATCTACGTAAACTCTCCAATGCTCCGGAATTCCTAGCGAGTTCCGGAGGTCGTTGCGGGACGGGGGAAACGATATATTCTCCTTGTCTGCCCATCATTCAGTCAAGTCCACAGATTGCTCCTCAACACCGCGAAATGCCAACGGCCCACGACCCACGAGAGCAATTTCACGTTTCCACATGAAAGACGATGAATGAAGAGTGGTATGCGTCTAGCGTTCCCTTCCGAAATTTCCACAAACTTCTCATAGGGAAAAAAATACACTAAAACGCTAGTTTCGTATTTGTATTAAACATAGTTAACGTTTTATTCCAATATCTGGAGTATACTTCTAATAAATGAAGTAGCCGGCGTCGTCTTCGAGGCTGCTAGCCTCTTCAAAACAACCAACTAAGTTTCTCTCTCTCTCTCTTCTAATAATAGGAGTTCGCGAGAGGAAAGGAAACCCGTTTTTTCGGTCCCCATAAATAAACTACGTATTCCAAAAAGCTGAAATTCCGCCACATATTGAAGCTAGCGGATAGGAATGCGAATGTTAATGAGAAATTAGTTTTTTCCACTAAAAATGTATATCGAGACAACATCTTGATCAGGAACTTTCGCATCCGCTCTCTACCACTGTCTACGTATTCTCATCGAGTTTCAGCTTTCTGCAATGCGTAGTCTATTTACGTGGGCCGAAGAAACATGTTTCATTTTTTCCTCAGACACCCGATACTTCTATTGTTCTCCCTACTTTAGTGGCGCAGTCGCCACCTCCGTTTTGATGTTTCGTACACGGAGAGAAGGAAGAAACAAAACCAAGTTACACCAGGATTGTTCTAGGCAGACGACATTGTGCTGCTAGCAGACAGCCGGGATATGTTATGGGAGCTAGATAGGATATGTGGAGAGGAAGGACACTCTCTGGGCCTGAAATTTAGTAACGACAGGTCAAGAATAATGGTCTATGATGATGGGTAAGGGAACCTTCTCAAAATAAAAGGCACTCTAACAGGACATGTGGACAAAAATAAACATCTGACGGTATGTCCGAATGAGGGAAAACAATACTTTGAAGAACAGGAAGAAAATATGCAAGAAGAGGAAAAGGAGTTTGCGCTTACAAAGCATAAGGCACTATAAAATTGCAATAGATGTGAAATTGTTGGCGGGATACGGGAAGAAGTCATAGTCCTGGGTCAGTCTTTCGGCAACGCGATTTTATGCGTGAAATCTTAATTCCAGTTGAGTTGAGAGACACAGCAAAGGAGCTTGGGCTGGCTATAGCATTGGGGGACATGGGGAATACACGAAATGATAGATTGCAGGGAGATGTGGGATGGTCACCTTTCGAGGTTAAGAAAGCGATCAGTAAATTGAAATTTGAACAAAGACTAGACACGATGAAGGACATGCGGTGAGCGAGAAAGGTATATAACCATTTATATATAAAAACAATGAACACTAAAGACAGGCCGAACCCGAAAACTTCAATTTAAATAATACCAAAAGTCACGTGCTGGGGGAAAGTGCAGGCTACCTCCGCGAAAAAGGAAGTAAAAGAATCCAAAAGGAAAATGTAAAGTGCATGAATGCATCGAAAATCAGCTTGCATTGTGTATAGGGCACGAAAACGGAACACAAGGAGAGAACGCTGGTACGATAATTCACGAGGAAGGTGGTTGTTATTTGAAGCTCGAACAGGTGTTTTGAAAACTATATGGGTACCTATAAGGAAGTGAAGACGTTGTGTGCCGTATGCAAGAGGGAAATCGTAGAACACGTAGTACTAAAACCCACAAGACTCGCTTCCGCCCTCCTAGACGGGGCGGGAGCAAGTTGGCTCGGACCTCGGAGGCACACCGTCTCCCCCTAATCCTTTACGCTGTTCTAAATAAAGTGTTTTGGCTGACTGACTCAGCGGAAGGCTTCGCGGTTGGAATGTCTTCTCTCGTAAGTGTCTCGCTTTTCGTGCGCCCCACGAGATCAGCCGTTTTGGCGTATGCTAACCAAAGCTATTTTATTTGTATTTCCGTCGTGCCTAGTGTTTCTTGCCATTTTCTTACAGTAATACTAAAATGGACCTCGAGAAGGGATGTACAGCGCCAAAGAGGGCCACAGGGTAGTCCGTATAGACCGACAACTTGTCGAGCACTCGGGCTGACTAACTTCCTGCTGTGTTAATATACACACGACGCAATTGCTCAAATTGTGGCCATTAGCAAACTGTGTGGCTTGCTCGAAACTCTACACCTAAGTATCAAGGCTGGACCGAATGCAAGTGATTTAGCGAGCGACGAAGATTTATCACTGCCGCTCGTCGCGATGATCGGTTTTTTGCTTTTTTTAGAAAACGTCGCTCATCGCCTTGGTCACTTGATCCCGTCGCTTTCATGCGGTTTGCTTCGTCGCGCGACTGACCGAGCGACAGCGAAGCGGGTCGCCATCGCTTGTCTCGCCACTTGCCAAATCGCTTCCATGCGGTTTATACTTAATTTCAGCAAACTATACATGACTGCAAAACTGCGCTAAATATTTCCATGGCCTCAACACGTTATTATGACTATACACGTTTTCTATCTATATGTTTCAACTATGCACACCTTTCAAGGGTTACACGAACGCAACAATATACTCATGTAGCGCTACTTCCCGGAATACTGGCAATTACTAAAAAGTCAATTAAGGTGCAACGAAATTAAATGGCATTCACCGCTGAAAAAAAGAAATCTCCTTTTCTTGCATAAATAAATAAATAAATTAACTCATTTTTCGTGCCTCATGTCTGCTACTTTCCGGGAGTAGTGCTAAGTGATTACTCCCACTTTCTCAGTTGAAAGTCAACCTTTTTATAACACCTTCAGTATAACCACTATCGATACCTTCAACTTAGACATTCAAATGTTAAGGGCTTCTTTGACCAATATGTCCAACCTATTTTATGGGAGTCTCATTTGAGTTATTTTGTATTCACTTTCGTAAGTTCTACTGAGTTTCATCGCTACTTCATTCGTTAATTACACCGTAATATCTAATTTCACGACTCGCACATAACAGTGTACAACACCATTGATGGGACATCGACATCTCTAAATGTTAGTTGCTTTTTCTGTGCCTCATATTCCAGGCCTTTAGCTGTTAATGAACACACAAAATAAACAGCTAATGATGACGATGACGATGATTAGAAGAAACGAGAGCTGCGATGATCTTTTGATATGGTGGGCTAGAAAGGGAGGTGCGATGACCGCAGGGGCGAGAGCGGTCCTCCCATTCATGTCCACGAAGCGCAGCATACTGGGTATACTAAAAGCAGCGCTACCTTGCACTCCAGGGACACAATACTAAAAAAAATTGCCAGATGAAGAATTTTTTTTTCCCACTTTGTAAAGGTTTAGCCATAAAACAGAACACAACCTTTTATATACTTTTATATATATTTTTTGCACGCTCCATTTCGTTTAAAAGCCAAATTCCAAAGAATAAACCGGTAATTTGCCGTCTGAGTGTTGCTGCCAGCCAGTGTTGGACAAAATACTCGATAAAAGTATTCAAGTGAAGTTACTAAATACCTGCTTCATAAAGTACTTAAAATACAACTCAAGTTACTTTCACTGTAATATATTTTGAGTAGAGTACAAATACTTAGAAATGTATTTTAAACACTTCTGAAGATACTTCCGCATTGCGTAATTTGTATCGACGTCAGTGACAACGACAATTATACAGCTACGCAAGTCTAGGTTACGAGAATGGTTTATTAGCACGCAACAACACAAAACGGAAAAAGAAAAAAAAAAGTATCGCAGGGCTATTTTATGCAGTCCAACTATAAGGAGCATATTGCCACGAATGTCAAATGATGAGGGGGCGAATAACTGAAGAAGCTAAAAGTTTGATGAGCGAACTTGTGCCCAACCCAAAATACGCCTCGCAAGTGGGCTCATTTTCGCCTTCTGCGCATGAGAAAGGAAGTAGCGGTGACGTCAGAGCGCCAAGCCCTGATTGGCTGATCGCGACCCCCTATCTCAGCGTCGTCTGCTCCTTTGCAACGTTGTCTGCTCGCAACATCGTCTGCGCCTGTCTTACCTCTCCTGCGACTTTATAAGCGAGCTCGACTTCGTCTTTCAGAGAGGGCAGACTAAATAACTCGAGCGGTACGTTGTTTTTGTCTAACAACTAGCAGACGAGCATCAAGGAGGGGAGTCAAAGGTGGCGAGGTGTCCTGAGGCGCCGAGGTTTGTTTACTAAAAACCGAGAGTGAGCATGTTAGTGTCCGCAAGTTCCCTCCGAAATACTTTTTCTCTCCTTTGGTGTGCGGCGGGACCCCTCATTCTTTAACGGCGTCGGCGGGTTGGCGCAGTCAACGTCGTCTGCTTTACGTCTGCTAGTCAAAGCGATGGCTGCTTTACCTTTCCTGCGTCTGTCGCAGATTCACCGCTTTTTCACCGGCGAGAGTCACCGTTGCCTCCGGAAACAAGGAGATAACAAGAGGAAGACATTGACCTCTTAATCTATAATTGAGGTCAGCGATCAAAGTATAATACGGGAAGGGTTCACAAGGATCGCGCGGGCATATTCTATTCAGCACGCCAGCCGGTCGTGGTCAGACGGTCGCGGAGTCGCGCGGAGTGCCTGTTAGGCCTAACTGCCGTACTCGCTTGGTCGTGTTCGGTTTAATCGTGGCCATTGGAGCTTTTCCTGGGCATTTGTGGATCCAGCGTTCTTGTTCGTCGTGGTCTGTTTCAAGTACTTTTTTCTTGCTGCTTGATGTCGGGACGCGTGAGAAGCCCACGTAGAAAAATAAACGTCCGTGGGTCGTCGCGACCGCGACGCTGTCGGCCACGCGAGCTTCGGAGCTGTCGTAGGATTTCGTCGCAACCTGCGCAAAGCTTACGAAAATTTCGTTTCATTTTGTGAATCTGGCCTTCCGAAAGTCGCAGGAAAGGTAAGACAGACGCGGACGACGTTGCGAGCAGACGACGTTGCAAAGGAGCAGACGACGCTCAGAGAGGGGGTCGCAATCAGCCAATCAGGGCTCGGCGTTGTGACGTCACCGCTACCCCCTGCGCAAGGAGCAGACGAACTTGCCCTCCGCATTGAGAAAGGCTTGCGTCGCAGGCGTCGATGTCGGCGCAACAGCAGGATCGAGCGCTGGGGCGAGACTGACTCCGGACCGCCACTCGGAGCACCTTTTGCGCCCGCGTGGGTTTCTGGAACATTCGGCGTAGAACGTTCGGCGCGTAGAGCATTCGTAACTCCGATCAGACGACAAGGTTCTCGAACTTGCGAGAATGTCAACCGAACGCGGCGTCAGCGTTCGGGTGGAGTCCGTGTTCTCCGGTGAGGGGGAGGAGGGGCTCTTTTGTTACCACTCCGGCCTGCATGAACAATGCAGCAAACATGATGCTCAGCTCGGCACAAAAGCCCAAGTGGGTCAAGCTCGCAACCTCTGACGACTGCTTTCGGGAGAGATCCGGCACTTGACGCCACTTCACTAATTGTCGGTATTTTCTATTACACTGTGCCCCGCGCTCTATTAAAAAAAATGACATGAACATGAGCGTGTGCGCAGGTCTTGTGTTGGGTAAACGCCGAGCTGTGGGGGCAACAAACGGGTCAGAGCACCTCGCCAATAGTGACATTGCTGAATATCACGTCCTGTGGCGCACCTTAGACGCATCGTTTAACTACAATCCATATTTCGTATATGAAGAGTTCACTATAAACGAACTTGGGATACGGATATGAGAGAATGAATAACAAAGAGAACCTATATAATAGCCACGGCAGTGGTCGCAGCTTATTCAAGTAGGTAGCGTTCAGAAAGGCACTCAACGTTGCGGACCATTTGTTGGCATTTCGAGAGGTCATCCAGTTCGTAGTTAGTTTCCTGCACTGTTCTCTGCTTATCAATGTTCGCTTACCGACAGTGTTCGTGAGAGCAATAGGTGATGGACTGACGACAAAAAGAAGAGAAACAAAAGAAAACCTTGACGTATTGCCCCAGCGGGGTCAAATATACAAAAAGCAAAACAGAATTTTTTTTTGTTTCTTTTTGTGTGTGTGTGTGTGACCACTTTCCATTTTCTTCTATTAGTTGTTTTCTTGACACTCAAGTCTGCATTGTGGTCGTAGGCCGTTTCCAGGTCCGCGTTGCGCTCAGGGTGGCATCTTTACTTCCGTAAATTCACACCTTTTGTTTGAGGATTTTTTGGGAGGAAACTCTATGGAAACAAAAGGTGCCTTTGGGAAGGCGAGGGGAAAACCTTAATTGGTACGAACTTTGGGCTAAAATGTGAGTCACGATCGGCAAAAAAAAAAAGCGATGTTTCCACGAGCTCATTCAAAGACACCGTAGCTAATCGGAGCTAGCAACAGGATTTGGTTGCTCGAAAGAATGCTCACGCTTGCTCGTGCCACGCCCACGCCACTTCACACCGAAAAACTCGGAAAATGGCGGAATGTCAAAAATGTTTTTAAGATAATGAGTACTCGGAATTGTAATTAAACTAGATTATCAAATACTCTCGATCAAAAGTATTAGCAAGATACCCAAGATACTTCATAAAGTATTTAAAATACAGTATCTTGAGTAGGGTATTTGAGATAGGCACAAGTCTGCTGCCAGCTTACAGATGGTACCACGGTGAAAGAGATACACGAGCCACGAATTGTAGCACCGCTCTGGGAGCCACTGGAAGAAGCGAGCGATCGCCACACCTTGCCATCTAGCCGAGCATCCTTTCCAAAAGCTGCAACGCACCTTCCTCATCCGGCGCTTTCGAGCTCGTTTTCAACCACTGTCCCAAGCCATTACAGCGACGCTGATGAACCGACGTACGAGTGCCTGCATGTTTGTGCGGAAACAATGGATCCTTTGTTTTCGGTCTTCACACCTGCACCGCGTGCGGGCTTCGGTGATTTCTGCGAACCATGCATACAACGAAACTGCTCTCCCGGTTCTCTCCAAGCTGTCCAGGTGGTCTCATTGTCTCGACAGCACATTCAATCGGGGGTTCTAAGCCCCGAAACGATCCTTTTATCTCCGTTTACTAGCACGGGGATTAAACTGCTTGTCGACAACACTCTCGCGTTCTAATTTACTATACGCTACCTCTATTCTTCCTCATAACAGACTACAATGCCACTTTGTATAAAGCTCTCCAACTATAGTCTCTCTCAGATACATTTTACGCATAGGCCAGGGGCGCATGCAGGTGTACCCAAAGGGAGGGGGGTTAGCGTACCGGAAGTTAGAGAAAACATCCCCTAGGCCGTTTTCCACGCACAAAATTTTACACATGCGGAATTCAAGCCCGGTAAGGAGGCGTTATGTTAAAACGCGCCCCAATGATATACACGCAACGCCCACCATTTTTTTTTTTTTTTTTTTTATGACAAGTTTGTTATTTGCCGCACCTTGGTGAACAAGCTGCTCCAGCGTGGCGGGTCACTTTATTCGGAATCTGTTGAAGAATTTTGGCTGTTCGCCAAAGCAGCACGTCAGAAAAGAAAAAGAAAAAAAAAAACGTAGGATTTATTTTATATTCAAATTCTGTTTATCATTCTTCAGGTAAACAGGCTGCACATATGTTTGCAAGTCACTTTAGCTCCTGTTTTTTTTTTTTTGTTTTGTTTTTTGTTTTTTAGTTCATCGACAAATGAAATTGCCTTAGAAACGATGAAAATGTTTATTCAACAATTAATGACCTGGATTTCTTTTCCTTTTGCGATATCAGTGATGATTAAGTTTTACTCGTGACTAGGGGCTTAAGCCTAAGCGGTCTTCTGGCAGCGATATTATCGCGAGTTTTACTATCGAAGGTTGCGCAAATATTCTTCCTCCTATTTTTCGGTGCACTTCTAATTTTTAGTTCGTTATTTTTCAGCAGCAAGGGGGAGAAGCGAGTGTAGTACCAGTATTGAAAGCAGGATACGCTTTCCAGCTGAATAACTACCGACCGGTGTCTCTTCTTATTGGTTTGTCGAAGATTTCTTGAAACCATAGTATATAGGCGAATGTCGATTTATTTTCGCCAAAAGATGAATTCGGTCCAACATGGATTTGTAAGAAAAAGGTCAGTTGAAACCAACCTTTGTGCTTTTTTTTTTTTGTATTACTCATCACCGGTATTTGTTCAACAAGGTCAACTTGAGATCGTGTACTTCGATATGTCGAAGTCCTTCTATACGGTAAATCATTTTTTTTATTATTGTCGAAATTTCAGTTGTATGGCCTATGCCCCCAGTATATTACCTGTTTTAAATCGTGCCTATCTTCACGTCAAAATGCGGTTCGCATTTCGGATACATTTTCTGATCATTACACTTCAACACCAGGTGTTCCACGGGGTTCGAATCTAGGGCCTCTTTCTTTTCTGATTGTTCTAATTGATATTGTTTCCGCTCTTAGAGGTGCTAAGATTATTTTGTTTGCCGATGATATCAAGCTTTATCGGTTCGTGGCTCTGACGATTGTTTATTGCTCAGGAAGATGTTAATCATGTGTCAATGTAGTAGCTCAAGCAATCTTTTATTTCTTAACCCGCAGAAAACTAAAATTATTTTCTGGTCCAGGAAGCGAGATCGTATTGATTCTCGTTATACTCCTTCCGGAAAAAACATGATTCCGCGTGTATCTACATTTCGCAACCTTGGCGTACGTTCTTGCAGGTAGCCGTCTTACTTTCAAAGACTAGGCTACGTCAATTGTCGCTAGTTCCCTACGAATGTTGGGGCTGGTTTCCCGTATGGCGCGTCAGATTTCTGGGTTTCGATGTTTAGTTCATTTATATTGCTCCTTTCTACATTCAAAGCTTGAATTTAGTTCCCTGGTATGAAACTCTTTCAATGTGAGCAACAAAATTAACGCGTTCAGAAGCCTATAGCCGCCTCGGTGGCTCCGAGGCGAGAGCGCCGGCCTACGGATCCCCAGGTGGCGGGTTCGAATCCCGACCGCGGTGCCCGGAATATGAGAGAGGCTTATTGCGGAGAAGGCGCCGTGTAACCGAGCTTTCGGCTGCACGTCAAAAGATCCCCAGGTGGTCAAAATTAATCCTCAGTCCTCCGCTGGGGCGTGCCAGATGCCCGTCGTAGGTTTGGCACGTAAAAAACCCCAAATTGTTTTTTCGAATCGTCTATGGTAGATACTTCAATAGTCGTTGCTATTATAGCTACGATTCGATCTGAAGTATCTTGAGTTAAACGAGCTACCGAAGTGGACGAGTCAATCCTGATTTTTTGTTTTTATGCAAAGTCATTATTGGAAAAATCGGTAGTATTTCACTGGTACCGTCTGTGAACTTTCATGTTCCTGTTCGGAAGGCTAGGTGTTTTACCCGCAATTTTACCCGAACACCCTATGTCATGCTCCATTCATCTCTAGAGTTCAGTCGCTTTATGAATTAATTTCTAACCACGATATGGTCATATATACAGATAATGTATTGTGAAAAGTAAAATATCGGTAGCATTTGATGCTCTGTTTTGCTTGCTTCTGTGCGCTTCTTTTTTTTTTTCGATTACAAGCTTACAGTTTTTGTAATAGCAATTCGATGAATTTGTACCGTATAATCTTGTTTTTATAGCAATGCTTATACCGTGTTAATGGATATGCACTGTATGGTCTTGTTCATGATAGTGATGACTATACAGTTTGAGGGCGAAACTGTTCAGTGTCTTTAAGTATTCGGTCAATGCTTTGGTTTCCATATGTGTTTTCAGTGTTCCAATCAGAAAGCTTCTATGACTGCTTTTGGACACTATCAAAAAATGAAGTATTGTTATTGTTATTGTTATTATTATGACACGTAGAGAAAAGCACATTGGGTGTTATTTTTTAAAACAGCCCACAGTGTCAGTGGCTGTCTTGATTTGCTAAGAAACATATCATTCAGAGTCCCACACACGGCGACGCGATCCGAGATGCCTTTTTATGTACACTGCAACTCAAGGAATCATGATTTATTGTCTCGTATGGCGAACACATATAATGGTCATGCCAGTGGCCTGGATATTTTTGGTGGATATAAAGAAAGCTTTCTAAAATCGCTTCGTGCGCTATATGGACCTAAACGAGTGTGGTGTGTCCTTTGTCTCGCTTTCGATGTTCCTTCCTATTGTGCTGAATATGACAGTGTGTCCTTTTCATCTCTCCGCTTACCACAGTGACTGTTCAACTTCCTACTTGTTATTGTGCAGCTGATGTCTTTGCAAAGCTGAGTTTGAGTACCGGCGTTGCTTCGATTTTCGTGCGATCATTTTAGATGTTGCGTGTAGTGTGTACGTTTCTTTTTTTTTTGTATGTGTTATTATTAAAATTAAAAGGGTCATTCCTGGGGACTGAATAAAACTTATTCTTGATTCTTGATTGGTTGCTTTTATTATAATAACTCGCTTCCACAGGCCGCATCAGCTTATATTTTCGTTTTTTTTTTTTTTCAATAAATATGTTTGAATTACAATCAAACAGCCTGTATGTGATAGCCCAAGTCCTGGGATAAACGAAACGTCGCTTTAAAAATTGGAGCTCCAGAGTTTTATACAAAAATATTTCTAAAGGTGCCACCTGCTGGAATGCGTCAAAAGCTTCCTGTGAGGTTTCGACGAATTTGGCCTTTATTTACTAACTGTACAGTTATTTCACACCACTAATATCTTTATATGTTTTCAACACGATTACAGACTATTTTTTTTTTATCAATAGCTTATTTTGAGATTTTACTATTTATGTTTCACAAAATCGAGAAATTGCCAATTGCTTCAACTTTAAATTGCTGTAGAAACAGAACCGTTAAGAAATATGACATGAAAGCTTCATCCGTCTCACTTTATTCGTAACTTCATAAACTATCTGATTATACTATATTGTTAGTGTGTGCGTGTTTTGTTAAATTAGTAATGTCCCGTTCTAAATTTGTTAAAAAAATGTGACCTTTAAGATTTTTAAAATAAATTATTTTTAAAAAGGGAATTTTTATTTGTATGTTTAATTTTGGTGTCGGTTTCCCATGACGTTAACATTCACCGGATATAACTATTGACTGACTTTATTTTGTTGCATTCTGGAGACAACCAGTTAAATAAGCCTCTTTGCTGCTCGAAACTTGTAAAGAACCTAAAATTTCGAGGTATTTGAGGCGGATTTCCTCGAAAACGCCATTATTTCATTTCTTTACTTGTTTCTCACTCGTGGATTTCTCATAAGGTACAGGATCCCTGCATATAAATATAGTTTGACCTTTGCGTCGTATTTTCGAGACAGTCAGTTACATAAGACGCTTTTGACTCGACTCACAATCTTTGTCTCCGGGATGCAGGCTTCACCGCAACGTAGTTGGCGGGCTAAAGATTTTTTGTAAAATCTACGTTACGCTCGGAAGAGTGACGTAATTGTTTGCATCATGTCGCCGCTATGTCGGCAACGCGGCCTTGGGTGGTGCGTCAACGACACAAGCGACGACGTGACTGAAACCACTACACGTCGCTCTTGTAAGAGTCATTGTGGGTAAGGTTGCGGCGTTCTTTTTGGACGAAATTTTTAAATCGGGCTAAAAAGCGCGAACAACTAATATCTAAAATAAAACTAGTACATGTTTGCATATTCTTTCCATTCAATGTCTAGCCTTTTATCGCGACATCTTCCACTCTCTCGCTTTCACTCTCATCCAATGAAACACGTCGTTGGATGCACGTTAGGTAAAATAAACGAAATTAAATGTTCGGGATATGCGCAAAAGAAGTTCGGGAAAGGGAGTGATTCCTCCCTCCCCTTTTCTCCTACCGCTTGCGTTCCGCTCTTGCTCCTGTACCTTCAAAAACACTGCGCAGGACTACAGGCTGTTGCGG